GAAGCCGACGCCAACGCCGACGCCAACGCCGCCGCTACTCGGCGTGTTTATTATAAAACAACAAATCATTCATTATAACCTCTTTGTGCGTGTATGGACACCTATAGGAGACCCTGTTTAGCTTTGGATGGTCGCGGAGTCCACTCTACCTATGTATATACGAGTATGTGTAATATATATACACATTTGTATGTATGTACACATGAATAAAAATATGCATATATTCCTATATGCGTAGCTTCGCATGTGTGTGTGTGTGTGTGTGTGTGTGTGTGTGTGTGCTTTGTATAATATGGATATTTGCGTATTATTTTGATTTTAATAATGATTTATTTATTATTAATAATTCATTGGTGGTGGGCTCTCTCATGAAATGTACACATACATACATATATCTATATCTACTTGTATATATGTATATACTTATACTTGAACATGCTCGTATGTATATGTATCGCATGTGGGGCTATGGCTTTGGACGTCGGGGAGCAGGAGCGGCGCTGATTGCGATCTGATCAGCTTTCCCCGCTCGCTCTGTCTCAACCAAAAACACCGCGGAGTGCAAAAGCCAAGTGGCTACTGACTTGAAGATCAGGCCCAAATGTTTCGGTTCTTCTTGGAGCCCATGAACGACATGGGGCTCGGGCAGAGTCCGTGGGCCGTTGCTAGTTTGAAGAGCGACCTTAGCCATGACTGTATTATAGGCTGGGAGAAAACGCATATTATAATGAGCTTCAATTAAGATAGAAATCTGGAAAACTAAAAAGACAAAGATTTATGGGTTCACAATTATTCAGCAGCCACCTTGAGGCCCCTTGGGAAGTTGTGTGTTTACTATTTATTGTTAGATGCGCCCCCACTACACGTGGACAACGGCTACAACGGCACTTTATTTGGACTTGATATATACTTGTATACATTTTGTTCTGGCTTTCCTTGTTTTTCAGAACGAGAAGTCGATCTGTGCAAAATTGTCTGATAACACTCTGACTATCTTTGCTTTATTGATGTAACTCATGCGAACACTTTTAATAATCGACTAATTCTATCCGCAAGACGGACATAAGAAGTTTTCATCGTCAGCGCCGAAGCCTCATACCCTACAACTGTGCTTTACAACAAAAACTTTATTTGACCAAGCAAAAACACTTAAAATAATACCAAAAGAACTTTAATAAATAAGAAATTATACGCAAGGCAATACCCAAAAACTTTTTCAAGCATACGATTTTAAATTAAGTATTCAATAGAAATAAAATCTCGCGATTCGCTGTTCTCAAAAATCAGTTACTCCTATTATTGGCTATGCGATTTCCCGATACTCTGGATGGTACTTCTCAAATCACCCGAACCTTGTACAGGGTGTCATAAATAAATGTTATGAAGGTTGTATTTACTATCTAGTATCAATTTCGTATATGCATCTTATTAGAAATTCATTACATTAAAATAACATGAAAAAGAATCAACAAAGAAATGCTTGAGTCCAGCGGACCCAACCCGTGAATACCCTGAACTCTTAAATACCCTTGTATTTAATAATTTCAACAAAATTAAGCAAATAAAATATGCATAAAACAAACATAGGATTGCACATTTTTGATAGAATACATTTACAAAAACATTGTTACGATGAAAATTAACATGAGAAGACATAACTAGGTACTGATTAAATGTAATTGTCGAATTTGAGTAAAAAGTTCCAAGAATTACAAGAGTTAAGGAAAATCAGTAATAGAAGTAGATTGGAGAGGTGCATCAGAAAACAAAAAATGGTCGTTTCTCGGACTAAGGAGAATCTGGATACCAAGTTTGGTTATTCTAGCTCTTATGCTACTCAGATCATTGCGTTTATACATTATACATTTCTATATCGACTCGTCTCGTCCTGATGATCAAGAATATAAACACTGTGTGGTCTGCCACGCCTCCCTCTGTATTATATTATTCTTCAAATACATTTTTTGTACCCTGTGCCCATAGGGTTAAAAAGTATACTAGTTCAGTGCTAAAAAGGAATCTTCTGGTATTAATAAATCTATAAGCCCATGTTAATTTATACAAAATTTTGATATACATTTTATTTAAGATATCAAAATATAACATCAAGATTTTACAAAAACATATATTTACCACGATTTTCAATTTCCGAGCTGGTCTTTTGCATTGTTTGGCAACGGCTTAGGTAACAAATTGTCGACGTGTCTCTATGTGTAGTTTAGAAGGCCGGAGATGCTTTCTTCTGCCTGTTACATATCTTTGAGACAACCGAATAGACCCTCTTCACCCAATGGGAAAGGGTATACAAAATATGTGATATATGGCCACGAAACTGGGTAACTGGTATTCCCGTTGAATGGCTTCTCAAATGATTACTGCCTAACGAAAGCGAATCTGTTTATGGCTCTAAGGGCGTTTGTGGAAGAGCCCAACTATCATGCCACTATCCAGCAATCAGCCACTTCTGGGGTCAGTTTTATGGGGACTTCTCTGGCAGCCAGCCTCCGCACTTGATTTGGTCGGCACCGCCCGGGCAACATTAATGTCAATTTAATGTTTCCTTAATGACTTCTTTCGTTGCAAGTTGCACTGGTGCTGTGGTAGTTGTTGTAGTTGCTGTTGCCCCATGTTGTTGCCACTCTTATCAGCTGTTGGTCAAACTTGTCGCATGGCTGGAAAGTGTTTATGCTAAATAGCTAACGAGTTTTACATAAAAGTGAATGAAGCGAAGTTGACTTGCGAGCTCTTGTGAGTTGTGAGTTTCGAGTTGCGAGTTGCGAGCTGTGCCTCATAAGGTCTTTCAATAAGCTTCATTGTTTTTGTACATTTTAAATATTTTCGTAGTGGGTCGGCCTTTAAAGCTTTCGTAAAGCCCCTGCCCCAACTATTTACATACGAGTATGCGAGCACATAGTATGCGTATGTGTATGTGTATGTGTGATAGAGTAACTGCTGTTGGTGTGCGGCGTCTATTTATTTGGGTCGGCAATTAAGATTTATATCAGCGCCTTTGATGAGCAATAAAACCGAAGACGCCGCGCGGCACAGCCAAAGTGCAAACAAGCACGGCTAACAACAACAACAACAACAACAACAACAACAATAACAACAACAAGAACATGTAATGTAACCGCAGCCGACTCGGCCGAGCCCTAGAAAACAACAAGAGCAACAACAACATGCAACAAGTACTACAACAAGAACTTCAACAAGCAGCAGCTGTAAATCTTCTATATTGGAACTCATTTATGCGGCAACGAGTTGCTGGAACACTTCGTTGCAGGCGTCTAATCTTGGCAGCTGAGTTCGAGCGCGTGCGTTCAAAAAATCATTTTAATGCTAGCTGGCATATCAGGCGGCAAGGTGCGAAACGCAGCCACCCATTGGATGGCAGAATGGCCACAGAGTCTGCAGGTTGGGACGCGCTCCACTGCAGTTAGTTGCAACACACGCACACATGTACCTCCTCTCTGATCAGTCTGTGTGTTCGCTTTGTAGGTGTGGGTGAGGGTGTGGGTGAGGATGTTGGTGGCGAGGGGTGTGTAGACCGCAAACTAAATGTTTAATTTTTAGAACGCACGCCGCGACGCGTCGCATGTAAACACAATTCGTCGGTGGCTCCAGCTTGGTAGCCGCAACTGATGGGACAGGGGGTCGGGGAAGCGGGGTCACTTGCCTGCCGCTGGTGCCAGAGAACGACCCGTCGACCATTTGTTTGAATTTGTCTAAAGTGGCGGTGAGCTTTTATTGTTTTTTTCTTTGCTTGCACAATTTTCATAATTTTCAGCGCTTGAGTTTTGTTGTTGCTGCGAAAAACGCTTGTCAAATTTTCCACTTACTTTTAGTAACTGGCGTCCATTCCCCCATCCCCCATCCCCCAGCCGTCGTCCCCATCCCCTTCATAGCACTCAACAGTGCAAGCGCATAGTTGCTGGTCGTACCTTTCCTTTTAATTTAATATTTTCTTTGTTTATTTGCCGTTTTTGTAGTCGCAGTCGCTCTTTTTGTCTCTCTGCAATGTCTGCTGCTGGAAAATTACGTTTACTCAGGCGCCAGGCGCGCATATTTAAATACACACGTGTTTTATCGCTGCCATTAAATCATATTTTTATACTTTACCTTTTTTGTGTTCCTCCGCTGCCACTGCTACTGCCACTGCCACTACCATTTCCAGTTCCACGCCCCCACTTACCCGTGCTTGGTCGTCCAGAGACTGGCATTATGATTGTTTACATTTTGCACTTTCACGGCATAAACAAACAAGAGGCGCTAAATAATATTGTGGAAAGCGAGAAGAAGAGCACGCATACCCCGGTTTGGCGTTTGTTCTTGTTCTCTGCTCATGGCTGGTGGGATGAGGAGGGGTCTGCTATTGGCGTCGCGTCATTGGAAAATCCTGAGTAGTGCCAGCAAATAGTTATTGCTACCCCTAATGCCAAAAGATATTCCAAATTGTACACGACTACAGCCCTAGTGAATCCCACATATTTATAAAACAAAACATCTTCCAGGCACAGTCTGAACAATCAGATCCTCTCTGCATCATTGTTAAACAGTAATCGGTTTGAGAAACAAATCGTCCTGCCAGACTGTTCAAGTCTGCATTTCTAACGATAAAATATATTTTTCGGTGAGGAAGTTCATAAGACCTTATGAAACCACTCTAAACAATACCCCCCAAAACTAAAAGCAGACGTTTGAAATAATACATAATCAAATAATTCTCTGATAATATTATCAATAGATTGTCGCACTTCCTGCTTGCTCTGCACAATCCATCCTTTCATCCTTCTCTAACCCTCTCCATCCGTTTGGGGCTCCGGCGCATAATGTGTTCAGGCACTCTGCCTCATTGAACATTTTATACATCGCAGAGCAAAATCATTTTCAATTACTCACGGTGCCCGACGTGGAGTTCAATGTTTGTCCCTCCGGCCGCGGAGAGTAAATAATTTTAAACATTTTTAAACGTTCTTCTTTTCTGCTTTCTGCTCTTTCAGGTAAGATAAGATCTGATTTTACACAATACGGCGGCATATCAACAGACATGGGTAAGAAAATTTCCACTTTTTTGTTCTTTGTACTTTTTGTTAATTTGCGAAAATTAAAACTGAATCTCGAAAATGCAGACAAGCTATAGCCTGCATGTCGACTATACTAATAAGTATTAAGTACGCGTACATCTGGTGTTGGTTATAACAATTTAGCATACCTTTAGGCGCGCAAGCAAAGCAAAACTAAAAACAGCCATCAAATCCGCCGGTCGCTTTCCAGAATCCCGACTGCGGACAGTGAAATGCATTTAACAGGCTCTGGCATCGGTATGCGAAGCTCGCCAAGAACGGATCTGCACCTTAGCTGCTCCATGTGGGTAGCTGAGGGAGTGGCGGGTAGTCGGCCCGCTTTGTAGATAAGCGCGTAGGCAGCAGCAGCAGCAGGAGCAGCAGGAGCAGCCACCGACATGCAATGGAAATATCTTGTAGCCGCGTGTGGAAATGATTGATGCACTGAACGCTGATTAGGTGGCTGCTGCAGCTCCCTACGTTAGTGTTGCACGCCACGCGGCTTGCGATTAATTTTAAACACAGTCGTGGCCATTTAATGAGTAAAACTAACTAATATACGCACTCACACGCACTCGTTTATGTGATGGTGGCAACCACCTTGTTTGCTACTCGGGTTCGCTTCTGAGTTTGCTATCAGCAGTTGTTTTTGTTGCTGCAACAACTTGTTCTCTGATGGAGCGTCTGCCGCCCGCTGGACAGACTTCGCAGCCCTGGGCTATTAAAGGCGTTTATTTCAGCATGTTGTTTGGGACCCCTCGATGCCAGGTTATCAATCAGTGCATCGTCGTCGACGCATGCGCCGTGCAGCAGGGCCTTGGAGGAGCAGAGTCGGGCGGGCCGACAGCCGAGCAGCTACTTCTTAAAATCCAATTACACTTATAAAGTGAGCAGCTAGTTGTGGGCTCAATTCCACAAGCACTTAAATTACATATATTGTGCCAGCGCATTGAGGCGCAAAATTGCAGACGTCGAAGGCCTCGGCCACCAGACACGACGCGGCGGTCTCCTACTTCTATTCAATTGATAATCTCGTGCAAATCAGAACCAGAGTATACGAAAGTATACGAATATTTAACACACAAGTGCCCAGAGTGTGTGAAATCCTGCATTGCGGCTGGTAAGAAGTTAAAGACTAACATGTTGTCTTGGAGCCCATAGTTTAGAAACTAATTGATTAAGTGAAGTGTTAGCTGGCTCTACTCTAATTTTACGGCCGATGGAAATCACTTAGAGTTATAGAACTATTCTGTTAATGTCCAGATAGCAAGCAACAGCAACGATATATTTTTTGTAGCTTAGGGAGAAAACGTATTTGGGTGGAAAAATACGTTTTTTTCATTTCGATATTGTTCAAACTATCCAAAGATATAGTTCCTAAAACAGGTTGTGCTTCGGATTCCGGTTTTAAATGGAAACAATGTTTTATGAATTTAGAACTTCTTGCTAGTTTCTGTGTTTTAATATAGTCCATTTCTTTATTATATCTTAACTTGCTCGACCTATAGTCTTAGAGACACTGCCAAAAATACGGTCTTGATAGATTACGTCTTTCAATACTACTTTGTACAGACAAGTGTGTACAAGTGCTACTCATATTTAATAGAAAAGAGTATAAAGGGCTTCCAGTTCCAGCTCAGGTCCAGGCCGTAGGAAAGCACCATCATTATGTTCCTAATTGGCACCATTAACTGCACACACCAAACTAGGCGAAATGTCAAAAATTTCGAGCTACTCGTATTTTCAGACCAGCAGGGCGGCCTCCAACAACAGCACTATGCGGTTGTCAGTAGGTGCTGACACCATATAGTAAAACATCAAATCGACATTACACTCTTTGGCCACTCGGGAAGCCGCGGCCCCCGCCCCCCACCCACGCCCTGCCCTCACCATCTTCCACGCCATAGCCACAACTTCCCCAATGGCCATTCGCTCGCTCAGCTAGAGCTCTGCACGTCGTCGAAATGTTGCTGACATTGGACATGACATTTCCCCCAAAGAGATAATTAAATTGCGGGCTTAATAGAATTAAATGCCGTGTTTGCATTTCAAAATCCAAAACGTGCCAAATGCAATGCTTGTCCCTCTTCTCCTCCTCTCCTCTCAAGCCCGCTGCTCTTTTGGCCAGGGCTTGTGCCCAGTAATGGAGGAAAATGTCAATTCGGGCAAGTTTGATAATTGCAGACGGCTGGCACCGCCTCCCCTCCACCATCCCACCATCCCACCATCCCACCTGCCCCTGGCTCTGTCTTTGTCCCATTCCATGCCACTGCCTGTGCCCCTTAATCGGCTACCGTGCGTTTCCGAACCGAGCTGCGCATGTGTTGCATGTTGCACGGAGCATGCCGCACCGCTGACCGCTGAATGTTGCATGTTGCAGTTAATAATTATTGAAAAGTGCGGCAGCGGCAGGAATTGTGCTCCTTGAGCTTCCTGCGCGGCTTCCGTCAGCATGTTGCATGCTTCGTTACCTGCAAGCGGCAGCAACAACCAGTCGCTTTTGCTGTTGTTTCTGGGCAAGAGGCTAACAATGCTCGCATTTTCCCACCTTTTTCGCATAACTTTTTGTGCTTTTGCTGTTTCGCTTTTGATTCTGTTGCCGTCGCTTATCGTAGCCATTGCCAGAGTAAACAAGTCCGCCAGTCCGCCAGTCCCTCAGTCAGCAGTTCGCCGCAAGCCGCTGGCCGCTGCAACTGCCTGCTCCCCGCTCCCCTTTCCCCACTCCACACTCCACACTCGACAGTCGACAAAATCGCACACATGTCGAACTTGTTACCACTTTTGATGTGGCTGGCGTTGGACGGCCTCCGACGGCCGCTGGCCCCTGTAATAAATTCATATTCAAATTGTTAATTGAATATTATTTGTTAAATTTGCAAGCATTAAATGTAAATGTCAGTGGTGGTCGGTCGCCCGATCGCCCGATTTGTGGGCTGCGGTCGCCTAGTGTGACGAGGGCGTGCCAAGGGGCGCATAATTCTTTTGCATAATTCGCAATTTTCATTTTGCCTTTGTGGGCAAAGTCTCTATAAATTATATTTATTTGTTTTTAACAAGTGGCAATGCAACTCCATCTAAAGCAAACCAAATCTTGAATACTCTTACAAAGTGCACACTTGCCCGAGGGCAGAGAATTTGAGTCTTTCGAAGGTCATTCACATATCCGATGGCAACTCGTAGAATAGAGGCTATTTTATTTTTTCATCCACATTCGCATCGATACCAATTTGTTTTCGTTCGAAGATCGATTAATTTGAGTTTAGTTCTGAATGCAAACTATGTTGGAGCACATCTTAAATGTCCAAAATATTGTGAAGATATATATTTCCAATTTCCATCGAAAATAATCGGGCACATTTTTTACTTCCAGTAGCTGTGAGATACGACTTTTAAAACTGAATAACTTTTATGTTGTATAGCAACCAATAATACTAAGTATATTTTAGAGTTTCATCAAAGTTGATTGGCCATCTAGTGCTGGATGGACCTTCAGCAGTAGGTTGGTAGATGGGAACCGTGTTCCGATTCGCTTCACCCTTACAAGCGGGACAAGTCCAATGTATAAATTCAAGCCAAACCAACCTGCTCCTACTACAGGGTCTTCATCTCTCATGCCCATAAGACTCCATGTTTCCATTACAACAGATTACTTATTCATTAATTGAAGCCCGACTGCCGGACATAGTGTCCAGTTGAGGGTCCATTGCGACACATTGCATGTACACCCGCACCCCCATCCGCACCAGCTCCAACCCCATCCTGCTCGTCCTCATCCTCATCCCGACCCACACCGTCGTTGACAAACGTGCTGCAAACTCCAATGGTAAAAACGAAAGTGCCGAGTGCCATTTTATGAACTGTTTGAGACCAAAATACAAAATGCTCCCCAGTTAATAATTCCGATTTGCGTAAAATCAAATGTCTGTGTATGTGAGTATCACGTATAGTTGGCTTTGTTGGTGTTCATGTTGATGATGATGATGATATTGTTTACGGTTTGTTCTTCGGATTAGCCATAAATTACTTCGGACTTCGTCAAATTAAAGGTTAAGCCTTGAGCTGATGGCATATGTAGTATATAGTATATAGTTTGCTGGGGACTTTGTGAACTAAAGCCGTGCTCCGCTTCCACAAGCTTTTTGGCTCCTCATCAACCACTTCGCTCCTGCTTTGAGCATATGTGAAATTTTTGCACTTGGGCCACCTTTACTGTGCAGTTTACAGATTTATGTTGGTGTGTGGATGGTTGCGAGCTCTTTTTTATTCCAGCGGCCGTTAGGACGGACATTTGTCCGTATTGCAGGTGCTGTCGAGTGTCGTTTGTTCGTTTGTTTCGTTTGTCTCGACGGTTGTTTGTCTACCACTGCGCCTCTTCGCTGTTCGACTGTCTGTCTGCAGTTGTTGTTGCCATTGTGCAGTGTCTATGAATATGAATTATGGAAATTACACAGCACAGCAACAACACCAACAACACCAACAACACCGATGCTCGGGCAATTCGACAAGGACGGAAGCAAGCAGGCAAACGGGCGAACCGGCGAACTGGCAAACCAGCAAACAGGGAACAAGAAGGGGCAGGCTACAGTTACATTTGGCACATTTTCATTCCTTTTTTTGCGCAAATGTACGTTTTACAAATGTAAACAGTATCGATATCTTTTTAGCTCCTTTTTAATTTTTGCATATTTGCTTTCTCTTTCTTATACGAGTATGTCGGGTGTTGTATGCAGATTTTGCTGCCTCGGAAAGGTCGCTCGATATACTGACCGACTTTCTCAACTGCTCTCGGTCGATATTTGGGAAATGCGGATGGGAAATGGGGTAGACGAGCTGAAAATGATCTGAAATTGAGATGGCCCATTTAACAACAAATTTAATTGGCTGAGTTTTTGTTGTTGCTACAAAATAGAAAGCCCAATATTAATTATTGAAATTATCATAGTCGGGATGAGACTGCAGAGCTTTAGGTTCAAGTGTAGAAACTAAAT